TCACGTACTAAACGACTATAATCTTGATTATGTTCAGATACAGGCGAGGGTGCTGGTATTGGTACTGTATGTCGTAAACCTGGAAATGTATTTAGCATTAATGAATTAAGCGGTGCAGGGTTGACACGATCAGCCCATGACTGATCATCACCAAAATCTTATGAAAGAGCTGAATCTTGCTTTTGTTGATAATTTTTAAATCAACTAATACCACTATCACTATTATATACATCAGCAACGACAGATATGACTATAGCTACTTCAATATCATCCTGTTTATGATCTTCATAATCATCATCAACATCGCTTGCCATGGTAGCAGCTGCTGTTCTTTGTTCAATACGAGTATTAATTTTGTTTTTAAATAGGATAATTGTTCGTTGTCGAATACGATTTATATTTGTTGATAAATCATTTGATTCGTCATGCTTAGTATCATTTTCTTCTTTGTGATAATGAATTAAACGATTAACGAATACATCTGTTGTTTTAGACTGTTGATCATCCTAGAAAAAGAAAAGACATTTTTTGTGTACTCAAAAAGTGAGTACACTCTAGAATCGGTCAGTATGTCCGTCCGTCCGTCCGGCCGTTTACACGATAACTTTCGAAAGGAGAGTCAGATCGTGATGAAATTTTCTACATAGTTCAGCCTCATCAATGTCTCAGTCGAGTTCGAAGATGAGAAGGATCCGTCTAGAAATGGCTGAGTTATCAAAAAAATTGTCATTATTGACCAGACCATCCCTGAGGGGGAGTACAGGGATTTTTTTTTGAAAAAAATGTTTTTCTCAGAATTATTCACAACATATATAAATCGACTCAGTTTTTAACGCTGATTCTGAATCTGATATTAGCTTTGAACCAAATCGTAGTTTTCTAACGAAACATTACCTGAAAAAGGTCTCAAATGCACAAAAACTGCATCCAGAAACCAAATTGCCTAGATATGTCTCAGATGACCAGTAGTTTTGAGGTTTTCCAAATGCCTGCTTTTGTAGCTAATCAAAAGGACTATCGAAAGGTAAAAACCCGAACTCGATAGCTATTAATATTGGTGATTTATTATGAAAATACTGATGCCTGTATCTTTCATATATCTCTTATAAATTCATGAGGTTGCTTACGATCGTAATCCTGCTAGATACAAACACAAATCCATTCAAAAATAACTCTTCTCATCCAGTTTTCCAACCTGGACACAAATCTGAACTCAATTTTTGTGATTTCTAAAGATATTATATCACTCTGAGAGAAGAGTCAATGGTCACCGGATAGGGTCGCATACAGTGTGGTTCATGCTAACTTAGCACGCCTGTATTTTCTCCTTGCAATTTAGTGAGAAGGGATATATGTTGATGAGATTTA